GAAGCTGTGACTTATATCCTGGTTCCTGTGCTTTTGGGCCTGGGGTTCCTGACCCCTGTGCCAGCGAATTGGGGTGGATTGAGACACCAGCCGACCTGGGGGAAAAGGAGGCCATGAAGAGAACACTGGATAAGAATGAATGGGGGAGGCATGAATTTGCCGTGGGACAGCCTCTTACCAGAGCGGTTGCGCTGAAACTCCTTGACAATCACCATGTTTGTGAAGTAAGGGTTTGTCTGGAAGTACAGCTTCATTTTGTAGCCCATGGAGATATGTCTGAGATCCTGTACCTGCTCAGGGTGGGGGTAATGGTGGGCTCCCCACCATATCATGGTCCCTCCCATCAAACCCCCCTCACCTCCAAGGACCCGATTCCTTGCCCAGTCCAATTAAAAAATCTCTTTGGCCTGACCTGCAGATTGGTCAAGTAGCGGAAAATGTCTTCATCACGTTGGTTGATCAAGATTGAAATTTTGGGGTGGTTGAGGAACTGATGGAGGGAGCAGTTTAGGTCAAGGAGTGACTACCCAATGAGAAAAGGAGGGAAGGAAGGCCTGGTAGGGCAGAACAAAAGAGAGGCTGGAGGAGAATAATTTCTTACATGTTCATGTGTCCAACAAATGGATCATGAGAAATTATCTGTATTTTCATTCCCATCATATTGTCTATGTGTTAAGAATATGTTTACACAATGTTAAAACTTTCTGATATATGGCTTTGCCATGGTTTATTATTTGTTGTGGATGCTGAGGATCTATGTCCATGTGATGTTGTCTCTGGGTGCTGACAACTTGTTTTCATGACATTGCCTGTCTGAAGGCTAACGGCCCCTGTATAAGTGAAACTGTATGTACAGTCCCTACTGAAGGGCTGTAATCATTCAATGTTATATATTTGGGTGTTTTGGGTCTGTGTCCAAGTGATGCTGCATTTCTGGGTACTGAGGACTAATAGTCACATGATGTGTATCTGTGTACTGAGGAGCTGTGTGATAATGCCATTAACAGTGCTGAGCTCCTATATCTTCATGATATTGTAGTGCCTGTGTGCGGTGAGCCTGTGATCATGTGATGTTATGTATTAGTATGACAAGAGTGTATTCACTTAATTCTGTAAGTTACACCTATGCGTATCTAAATGTTTCACATATGTTATGTGTTTCTCCCAGAGATTAGCTTATCATTACTATAGTGGGTAGGTTTCTTACTCTCCCCCTTTCCTTCACTTAATTCCTTGATCTCTATAACCAAGTACTAGTATCAGCCCTTCAGGGGCTCTAGTATCTTTCTAGTGCCCTCCTTTCCATCTAGGATCAGAGTCTCCCTAGTATCTAAATAAAGATGTAGGCATGCAGAGACGTGTGAGTTAGGTGCCCTTCCTTCCTCTTCAGTGTCTGAGTAGGTTTACCTTCTGTACCCTCCTCGTCTCCTTTCATCATTTCTGATCTAATTTATCTGCTGTGTGTCCCTCTATCACCCCGCCCCCCACTGTGTGCAAACCATTTTTTTTATGCTCCTCCCCTTTTCCCTCTCCCAGCTGTGGGCCAGTTTTCCCGGTGTGTGCTCTCCGACCCCTCCCCCTATCTCTAGTCCAGCCTCTCCGCTGTTTTGCCCCTCTCCTTCCATCCCTCCCAACCCCCCTCACCTCCAAGGACCAGATTCTTTGCCTGGTCCAAGGAAAAAAATTCTTTTGGAGGAGGGTGATTTTCTTTCAACAGGGGTTCACCCCCATACTCTTTTACCACAGATGCCGCCCCACCTCCCCCCACCCCGGGCATGGGCTCCTGGCCCATGAATATAGATGACAAGGATACTGCTTTGACCCAGAAGCCTGGGATATGCTGGATGATGAGGTCTCTGCGCTCCAGGAAGGGTCTGCGCATTTGGATGAATTTTCGCTTGAGGCGGAGAAAGGCCTTGCCCGCTTTGATGTTCACCGCCTCCAGGTCCAGCTGAATGTTTTCCAGAGCCTGCAGGACGCATTCTATCTTCTCAGCATTCTTCTCTTTGTTTTCCTTCTTCATCTTCCTCTGCTGCTTCCTCCTCCTCCTCCTCCTTCTCCTCCTCTTCCTCACACTCTCTTTTTCGTCCTCATCAGCATCTTCCACTAGAATGACTGCCTCCTCTGCCCCCTCAGGATCAGCCAACACCTGGGGGTCCCATCCCCCTGTGCTACAGGTTTCTAGGACCTTCTCTTCAGCAAAGGTGCTGGGCTCCAGAACCTGAAAATCAATTTCCAGGCCTCCCCCAGAAGCCTCTGGAGAGAGCGCTTCCAGACTGCCGGTGGGAGGGGTCGAGCCCCCATACCCCGACTCCATCTCGGGCTCCCAGCCCGGACCCCCTGCGCCCAAGGTGAAATACGCGCGGATCCCACCCTCCTCTAGAATAACATAGGGCAGCGGTGGAGGCAGAGTGGGGCCCACTCCCACCCCCCTCATGTCGGCCAACACCTGTGCTGCCTCGGTTTCCTCCTGGAGCCTCGGGCGCTGTTGAGGTGGAGGCAGGGGCAGTCGCAGGAGGGGCGGCGGCGGCGGCGGCGGATCGCGCTGAGGGGACTCCGAATTGCTCAGTCGGCGAGTCTTGGCCGGAGGTCCTTCATCTGGGCGATCCATGGTGACGGCGCTCGATAGCTCAGACGATCGCGCCCGCCGCTTCGCTCTCAGCCCGGCCGCCTCTGCCAGTCACACCTGAGGAGGAGCAGCCGCTCCTCACGCGACCTGCTCTCCTCACAGCCTCGGTCTGGCGTTCCCTCCCACAGAGCCTGCCCGACTCCCTCCGCGCCACGAACCTTGGCCCCGCCCTCCCCCTGACGCAAGGGGCCCATTCTGCCTTGTCATTGGCTGCTCGCCGCCGCGGCGGCGCTACAGCTCCTTAGACCTCCGCCCGCGCCTACACAATCTGCTTGCCAACACCGCACCTCAGAGCTTTCCGATTGGCTCCCCCGGGCCCGCCAATCATTCGGCCGACTCCCCTCAGCCACTGGAGGGAGACTGCGGGGTGATTGGCGGCGAGGAAAGCTGCGGGGGGGAAAAAAGCCCCTCTCCTCACCCTTCCTACGTTTTATCCAATGGGAAAAGTACCAGTAGTCTGAAGCCCCCCCCAAACAAAACAAAAAAATATGCAAGCACTAAGCGAGGTGTGCTCAAATAAAATCGGGAGAGCCTCGCCTCGGTTCCTCCCCTTCCCTTTTCATCCCTCAGCTCCCTCCTCTTCCCCCTCCTCTCAGCAACTACGCACTTCTAAAATCAGCCGGGTCCCCTAACCTCGGTTTCTGCCCCCGCCTAGAATTGGGTTTTGGCTCGTAGGGGCTTTGGTCGCCCTAAAGGAGCCAGTGATCTAGAAATCTAGGACCTTTGTTTGATTTGGGGTGAGATTTTGAGGTGGCGTTTTCCATCTCTGCGAGATGGCTCTAGAAATAATAATCACATAGAAAAAGTAACTTCCTCTGCGTCACTAAAATGACTATGATTCATTGCGTGCTAGCTTTTTCTAGGACTTTCTATCTCTTTATCTACTCAATAGTTCTTGCTATCCTTTCCCTTTCTCCAGTATGCGGTTTTTCATTGTTTTGGGCTTGGTTTGTGGTTTTGTTGTTTGTTTTTGTTTTTGTCTTTTGACCAGATGGATGGTCTTGGCGTGGCGGGGGCAGTAGGGAGGCGCTTGTCTTCACATCACTGGTCTTACTCATTTTGTAACCCTAACTAAATCACTGCCTCTATCTGAGTTTCTTTCCTTTCCTCTAAACTAGGCATCCCTAAAGAGACAGGTGGGAAACTGCCCATTGCAGAGATTTGGAGGCAACCTAGAGACCCATAGCCAGGGGAATGGATAAGAAAAATGTGATATATGTATAAGATGGACCACTAGAATGAATTAGCTCTAAATAGGCAACATGGCTGGATCGCTCAAAAACAGAATGTTGAGTGAAAAAAGAAACAGAACAAGATTTATAGTACAATACTATTTATGTAAATTAAAACACATAACAATATCATATTTTTTCACAGATACACATATATGTAAATAAACACATGAACGGTGGATTGGAAGGACGCACGTTAAATACACAAGAGTGGGTGCCTAAGTGGGAGGGGGTATGGGATCAGGGATGGGTGATGATGGGCACAAAACAAAACAAAATATAGAATAAAAGGGCCTTGCATGGACCAATGATAATCTAGTGTGCCAAGAACTGAGGAGTGTGGTCCATTCAATACTGTGCACCTGAGCGAATAAGTAAATAAATAGTAAATTAATTGTGTGCCCAAGGAGCAGACTGGCTGGGTAGACACCCAGGCTTGGGTTTATTCCCTCTGTGACATCTCTTCCTCTGAATTTAGTCAAAGCTTTCCAAAGTCCCAGCTGTATTTGTCAATCCGTAGGAAGGGCACCCATCCTGGACTGAGTAGTCTCTCCCAGGACCACTATTTTGAGGGGAGCATTTATTAACTTCAATAGTTCTCTCCAAGTTTGATACCCAATTCCCTGTCCCCATTCTCCATGGCAGTCCAGTTTCAGTAACATCTTGTTTGGGTTTTGGAGAGGAGACGGGTACAGGAGTTGGGAGTGATACCTGGGGACTCTAGGCTTTGGGTGATGAGGGGGTTCTCAAGTATCTCAAGTATCCTGTCCCCCATGTTCAAAACCTGAGCCAAGGAAGGAAGATCTTACACAATGGGAACCTAAACTTTCACTACATACATATGTATGGTTTTCAAGTTCCATTTTTCTGACCACTCTATTTCCTGCCACAGGCATATGCTCTAGTTTTTGTCTCCTCTCAACTAGATGAATATGTGTAAGTGTGCGCGCGCACCATGTATGTCACCACATACAGGCATTTGCTCACATGTGTGTACCAGGCAGGAATACCTCCCCACACAAAGGCACACAGATACACACTGTCTCACTCGACCATGTGGTCATGCAGACAGGACACACAGACACACACAGACACAGACACACACATACACACACACACACAATCAGAAAGAGAAAACATCCAATATAGCATTGTTCATTTCAGTTTTCCATTTACAAAATCCAATGGTGATCCAGGCAGTTAGAAAAAGGAATTGGAGGAAAACCCTCCAGAATGTACTTATCTCCCCCCACCCCACCCCTGGAAAAGGCACCCCCATCACTATCACTGAGAGAACAGGTAGACCCAGTCCCCAGTCTCTCAGCCACTCTGGCCTGCCTTTCCAGGGTCACTCCATAGCCAGGCCCATTAATGTCTCTCCTGCCTAGAGTGCCCTCCCCATTCCTCTTGGGTCAAGGCTTTCCCAGTTCTGGGACTATCTTGGAGTAGGGAGAGAGCTTAGGACAGGGCTTCTATAAGAAAGGGGAAGGGAGGGTGGATAAATGCAGATTTCCCCTCCCCCAGGAAATGACAGGAGGCAAGAGAACCCAGGTAAGACCAACAAAGATTGAATGCCAGCTTGGCTCACCAGTCCACAAGAACTGGCCTTGATGTGAGCCCAGAGTGAACTCTGCCCCTATCTAGAGGCTTGGGATCTCCCACCTGGAGGATCTGGCTTGAGTCTGTTCCACCTTGGGTGGAGAACTAGGGAGAAGGGTTGTTGGGAAGAATCTTGGGGCTGAGGGCCCAGAAGGCCAAGGGTGACCATGGAGGGGTTTGAGGCCCCTGAGGCTTGCAGGGGACAAAAAGAGGTCAGATAGGAATGGACTCAGGTCCACTGTGCCTTGGAATGTGTACCAAGGCCGCCAAAGAATTTTTGTCTTGAGGAGAGTAGTGTGAACCCAGGAGATAATTCTGGGATTGAATACCATTCTGACCCCAGGGCCTGGGATCCCTACTCTGGGGGATTTCACTTCTCTTGCTATATTTCCCTGGGGGACTGACTGCTCCTGCCAGTATGGTGACCCACATCCACCCTAATGGTCCTGGAGTGGATTGTCATCAAGAAGAAGAGTTGGGGACTGGGAATCCAGGAGGCAGCTCAAGAGAATACAACAAGCTCAGGTCTCTTCAGCTCAAGGCATATAGCTCACATCCTGCTCTTCACCTACAGGGGCTCTTCTCCCTCCCCTCCTGGTTCTCAAACTGATACTCAGGAAATACTTAGGAGAGCTGGGCTGGTGGGGAGGGAGAGGAGACTGGATTTGGGGCCAACCTTAGCCTAAAACAACATTGCACACAACACAGCAATTAACATCTCTGCTCCCTGGGAACCCAGCACCCTCTTTGGTCCCTCTTGTCAGCAGATCAATTTCTCCCTAAACATCTAGGCCTTGCTAAAGGACTGAAGGGGAGGATACATGGGAGCATAGGGGGAAATAAGAGCTCTGGGAGTCTATTTTACAGGACAAATTCCCCTTTTCTGGTCAATGTCAGAAGAAGAGACATTACAAGCAAAGCCTGTCTCTGCTATTAGTAGAAAAACCTGCACTTTCAGTGTTGTTTTCTTTTTCTGAATTTGAGAGGGGACAGAGAGGGAGAAAGGAGGGGATGGATGGAAGGCGGAGGGAGAGAGGGAAAGAGAAAGATACTGAGAGACAGGGAGAGATTATAGAAATGGAGAAGGAAGCAGTGGAGACAGGCCTCACAGAACTAGAAATGCTTCTTTCCCAGCTTCCTACCCAGTCCCCAGCTCTGTGGAGGATTGGCAAAGATGTCTAGACTCTGGATGACCAGAGGGGCTGGGCTGGAGCTCAGAAAGAAAGGCTCCTGTATGGGGCCCCACCCCTCCATTTCTGCTGGCCCCATCGTGGTGGTCACAACCTTCTCCCTGCCTGTCTGCCTACCAGCCTGCTTCACATGACACAGTAGGGTTCTCTGGGAGCTGGGGCACCTCCTGTGCCCCAGCAGGGGGCGTGAGTCCTCAGGCACTTCTTGAGGTCCTTGTTGAGCAGGAAGCAGACGATCGGGTTGACGGCAGCCTGGGCGAAGCTCATCCAAACAGCAGTGGCTAGATAACGGTGGGGCACGGCACAGGCTTTCACAAACACTCGCCAGTAGCAGGCCACGATGTAGGGTGACCAGAGGAGCAGGAAGAGCAGTGTGATCGCGTAGAACATGCGGCCCAGCTGCTTTTCACCCTTGACCTCGTCCATGCCCAGCAGGCGCCGGCTGGCTGCATGCCCATTCTGCCGGATACCCAGCAGGGTTGGTGGCATAGGCCCACGGCCAAAGCCGGCAATCCAGTTGGCAGCAGCCTGACCGGTAGCCCCAGGGCCATGGAATGTCCAGTTCTGACTGATGGCTGGCACCATCTGCACAGGCTTCATCTTGCGGTGACGATACTCAAAGAGGAGCAGCTTGCCATAGACAGCATGTGTGGCCGCCATGAGCACAGCCAACATAAGCATGAAGCCCAGCGTGTCATTGGCCTTGAAGTAGCGATGCTCAAAGATGCATTGGTCCTCCTCACGGATAAACTTGTAGGTGCCCACATCAAAGACGGGTGGAAAGGCCATGGCCACAGATAGGGTCCAGGCCATGCAGATGACAGCTGCACATGTCCAGAGTGTCATGCGCTTGGCATAGAAGCGGTGGTGGGCAATGGCCATGTAGCGGGTGACGCTGATGCAGAACAGCATGAAGGCTGCATGGAAGCAAAAGAGCACGGCCATAAAGGCCACAATCTTGCAGCTGAGCGCACTGAAGGTCCATGAGGAGCCGTGGCGCACAGAAGCCAGCACAAAGGGGAAACAGACGGCAGAGCGTATGCCGTCGGCCAGGCACAGGTCCAGCAGAAAGTAGTAAGGAGCCTTGTGCAGGGCACGCTCCTTGAGCACCAGCAGGGACAAGATGGCATTGCCCGCCAGGCTCACGCACATGATCAGTCCGAGCAGCACCAGCTTCACATAAGCAGATGCTGACGGCGGGGACAATGCACCGCTCACCTCCTCGGGCTCTCCAGTGGTGTTGGCCATACTGAGAGGCAAGGGCTACTCCCAACCCTACCGGGTCAGCCAGTCCAGTACTCGATGGGCCCTATGGGACTCCATCAGTTGTCCTGCTGGGCTACACCTGCAAACAGGAAGAATGGAGGTGGGGAGAAAGACAGAGAGAGAGAGACATAGAGGAAGGCGAGAGAAAGAGAGGAACGCACAGAGACAGAATGGGAAAGGAGAGAGTGAAAAGATAGAACATGGAAACAGAGATATAAATGAATAGTGGTTGAGTTGGAAGTGGAGGGGGGTGAGAGTGAGGAAAGATAAGAGAGATAACACCAAAGAGACTAGGAGAGGGGAGGAAAAGGCGAGGGGTTGGGGAAGAAAGAGAGAAAGGGGGAGAAAGGAAGAAGTGGGGCAGGGAGGGTGAGAAAGAGAAAGAGGGGAGAAGGAGGGAGGAAGAAAGAGAATCAAGAGAAACACAAGGAAGTACACAGTGAGAAGCAGGTGGAAAGGAAAGGTGAGGAAGAAACAGAAAAGTCAGTGTTAGTGTGTTCACGAAGCCTCAGCAATCATTCCCCGCTGGTCTGGCACCAGACCCTGTGTGGCCCACTGCTGCACCTGCCCCTCCTGGCTGGCTGAGGGTGCTTCATCTCTCTGGAAGTACTTAGTTACCTATTTCCTCCATTAGCCGGTCCATGGTCTGGGAAGACTGGTGTGGCTTTTCTCCCCCTCTGCAAAGCACTGAGGCTGTGTTCTTCAGACTTTTTTGACTGTCACCCATAGTAAGAAACATGTTTGACATCACAACTGGTGTACATACATGCATGTGCAAATATCGCTAAACCTGAAGACTCACAGTAGAACTGTACCCATCAGTTCCAATTGTACCTCACATTTCTGTTGCTGTTGATAGCTATTCATTGGCAGATTTCTTCACTCGTGATAAGGAACGTGCCTAGCATGCCTGAGAAACAACGGGAAGACCAGTGTGGTTGGAATGGGATGAATGAGGGAGACAATGGTAGAAGGTGAGGTCGCAGAGATACTGAGGGCGAGTTGTTAGGGTTTGGGCCATGATGAGGACTTTGGGTATCATTTTAAGTGAGGTGGGGTGTATGTGTGACTATAAAGGTGTTAATATACTTGTATTCATTCTTTGAAACATGACTTGTTGAGCACCTACTGTGTGCCAGGCAGTGGGGATACAGCTGTGAATCAACAAAGTTCTCTGCCCCTGTGGAGTTGACACTCTAGAGAGTAAAGAAGGTACATTAGCTGAAACACACATCCCACTTCACAACATTTCAGTCAACAACAGACCACATCTAGACAAAGGTCCCAATGGGTTATACCACATGGCCTAGGTGTGTAGTAGGCTTTACCATCTACCTTTGCAGGATTCCACTCTATGATGTTCACCTGCAAAATCTCCTAACAACACAACACATTTCTCAGAACACATCCCAGTCATTAATTCACATGTGGTGGTAAAGCAGATGATGCTAAGTTCCTATTAAAAATAAAGAAAGGGGACCTTCCTTAGTACAGGGTGGTACAGGAGACAAGTCTCAGTGCTATCAAACTATCGCCAGCCACTATGGCAGGAGTTCAATCCTTGGCCAGGAAGCTGACCCACATGGCACAGTAGACCTCTCCTGTCTCACCTGTTGCTCCTCCCAGTAGTGTATTTTGTTCTTCTCCCCACTCTGTCTCTGGTGAATCCTTTCATCCCCCCCTTCCCTCACCTAGACCCCAGTTCTTGTGTGCATAAATAAATTAAAAGATTTTTTAAATCGAGGAAGGAAGGGAGTAGGACGTGCTAGGGGTTGGGGACGTGTGATTTTTGATGACAGGGAAGGTTTCTCAGAACCTGGAGCATCTGAGTTAAGACCTGAAGGAGATAAGAGAATGAGCCACATGGATGTCTGGAGTAAGAGAGGGACAGCCAGAGCAAAGGCCCTGAGGTGGAACTACACATGGTGTGTGTGAGAAAAAGGAAGCAGGTCACTGAAGGTGGAACAGAATGAGTGAGGGGATAAGTGGTAGGAGGAGAGGCCACAAAGGAGGTAAGGCCAGATTATGTAGGCCACAGCGAGGACTGTGACTTTCACTCTCAGTGAGATGGGAGTCATGGCAGGGTTTTGAACAAAGGCAAGATATGACACAACTTAGAATTGGATGGGCTCCTGTTTGGGATTGTGGAGAATATTTAAGAGTCTCCTTGCAGTAATCCAGGTGAGAAATAATAGCATCTCATGCCCCTTGCCAAACATTATTTTTTCCCTAAAATTCTCTCCTCCAAAGCACTATATAATTTACTTTGAGTATGGTTTATTTTCTGCCTCTGCATATCTGAATGCATGCCCCACAAAGGGCAGAGGCTATAGACTCAGGCACTCTCCTTTAGGAGAGCAGTGTATAGCACGTGGTGGACCTTCAGGATAAAATGTTCAAGTCAGCTGATTGAGGAACTGAATGAGTTCAGTTGGTCAGAGAGGGTCACCTGGAGGCATCCAGGAAGGATTTGCAGAAACAGCAAGAAGGTGGCAGGGGGTGGGGGCTGGGCTCATGAAAGGGAGGGCACAGACAAAGCTGGGGTGGAGATGAGGCCAGGAGAGCTCCTGGTATATGGGTTGGGGTGGAGTGCAGAGGCGTGATAAGGTAACAGAAAGTCCAAAGAGAAGGCAACAAGACAACTTAGTAGAAGGTGAAGAACTATCATTGGGGTTGGGATACACTAGAGGCTGCCAGAGGAGGGAACATCTTTCTGTCTCTCCCTGCACTGTCGCCCAGCTCAATCCAACCTGGGCTGCACAGCCACGTGGGGCCAAGCTGTTTTGAGGGCCCCTCAGAATCTCAGAACTGGCTCCAACAGCCCAGTGGAAGCAACTAGGACAGGGGTTCTGGGGAAGTGGTACTGATGGGCTCCCTTTCAGTCCCCTCAAGATGTGACCACAGAACTGTGGACTGGCTAACAACTTTGTGTGTATGAATGTACACACACACACATGCCTTTGTTTTGGGGGAAGCAGGGGTAAAATAATAGAGATTGAATGTAAGAGAGAGGCAAAGAGACACACAGAATGTGACAGAGAAAGGAGAGAGGTTTTTGTGAGAGAAGGATGGGGAATTAGGAGGGAAGGGGAGAGAGACAGAGAAACAGATAAAGGGGGCTAACAACAGACAAGAGAAATGCATACAGAAAGGGAAAGAGAATGAGGAAAAGAGACACACACACAAACACGCACACAGAAACACCGAGAGAACAAGAGAGATAGAGAGGGAAAGAGAGAGAAAAACAGAGAGGGAGAGAGAAAGCAAGAGAAGAAAGACAGTGCCAGGAAAGAAAATATAGAGAAATTGAGATAGACAAAGCAGGGAATGAGAAGCAGATATAAATGGGATGGAGAAAAACAGAGGCAGAGACAGAAACACACACAGAGAAAGAGACAGATATAAGGATGTAGATAGAGTGAGACATGGAGAGACACACCAAGATCTACCAAGAAAGTGGATAGTGAAGCCCAGAGTCTCAGTGGAAAGAAAAAAGAACACAAGAACAAAACAAAACACAAAAGCAGCAAACAAACAAAATCCTGGTGTTGGCTGGAAAGCTGGGGCAATTCTATAAATAACTAAGGAGAAAGGTGTTCCCAACACAGACTAGCAGCCACAGCCTGGGTCCATCCAAAGCTAAGGATGTATGTACATGCATACAACATGTGCATCCCTGTTCATGCCCAGACACCCTTAGACAGACACACAGACATCTACACATGCATTTGCACACACTGACAGCACAGCCCACTGCTATGGGGACACTTGGACAGCTACATTCATAAGGGCTTTGGTGTACATGGGCAAATAAACATACAGGTTTGCACACACAGAGTATATATACTCTGTGCCAAGCCTAAACACCAGTGTTTGTCCTCAGCGAAGTCTTTACTGCCGCCTAGGGGACATTTTGGAAATTTGTAGGTGCATTTTGGGTTGCTTCGATGCTGGGGTGTGGGGTGCCTTAACACTTAGGGGTCCAGAGCGAGGGTGCTGGCCACTCAGTTATATGCAGGGCAGTTCCCAACAGCCAGCAAATGCCCCACATCCCCTAAGGCTTTGGACTTGTAATGAACTGAGCTTCAACTCTAACTATTTTACAGATAAACACATCTTCTCCTCAAATTTAATACACCCTAAATAATCCAGGAATGTGTCTGTCGTGTAAGTCTGGAGACCATCTTTTGTTTCTTGGTACCTTTTCCTTGAGTTGCTGACTGTTTTGGAAAATCTCACGCCTGGGCCTTTGCCTGTCAATTTCCTGCACTTTTTGCAAGGGGCAGCTTCTGCTTTTCCCCTTTCTATTAAATCTACCGTTACTCGTGATGTTACAAGCCTCTAATTATTTACTGATTCTCCTGGAGACTGTTACACCAAGCATTTATAATGAGACACAGGTAAACTATTTTTGTTATAATTTATCTGTATTACAGTGAATACAATTAGCTATTGCATAAAATACTATATGCATTTTCTTTTGAAGTCATATGTGCAGGGATTGTAGTATTTAAGAACCTCACATCCAGGTGGTAAAACTATCTGCTACATAAGATGGCCCTAAGTGTTCATATACACAGACACACTCACACAAATACATGTGCAATGGCCCGTCAACCCACAATTATAACTTCTCTAACACATGCAACAAAAATGAACTCTCAAATCCTGTCAGATAGAGCCACACATAAAAACCTCGCAAATAGGGCCCTTCCTGGTGGCACAAACTAGCCACAGCTGCTTCAGTGCGAGTTAGATCCCGAGCTAGATCCCGCCCCCCAACCCCCAATTCCTCCACCCCCCC